CCGCGGTCGCAGGCATGGGAGGCGCAGTATGACATGGCGTCGTCTACAACAGCGATGATGCACGTGCCGCTGTGCTCACCCTGTGTGGTACTGGAGCAACTTGCCACTCCTCCACGAGCTGGCTTGCAGCAGCGAGTTGCTGAACTACACGCCGGCTTGGAGGGGCCACTTGCTTCGTCGGGCTAGGCGATGGAGGTGGAGCAGAGAGCTGCCTCGCTCGTATACGGCGGGCTCGGTGGGCCACCTAGCCGGTTTTTATGCCGGAGAACTGCTCTTCCTGCTCGTCAGATGCCATCGGAAGGATGAAGAAAATGATGAAAGGAGTAGATGGGGAGCGGCGGAGTGGTGTGATTCTTGCCCGACGTCTGGCCTCCTTTAAATAGCGGACAGACAGGAAGAGCATGCCCGACGTTGTGTTTAATATCGTCCTGCTCGTGAACAGACGTGCAACCGGAGTAGGTTTCTCGGCTTCCACGCATGTTTCATGGAGACGTTTGAATGTGACGAGGAGGCGTGTTCCGCCGGGCGTGCAGCGGGCCGCGCCCTCGACTGGCGCACTGTTTTAGTGGTGGAGGCAATGAGAGGTAACGTCCGCTCCGAACCGTCTTCAATGTGGAACGACTGCTCTACAACATCATGAATGCGGGCAGCTGGCGTCGGGCGGAGGCACGCGGGCGAGGGAGGATGGATTTGGATGAGCCAGTGTGGTCAAAAGCGGATGTCGGCACTGTCCAGACGCCCGAAAAGTCTTTATATTTATCTAGAAAGTATGTCTGAACCGTCATATCACGCGGACTTTGGTTCAGATGGCCGCGGAGATTTGAAGGTCGTTGTTGGAGATGCGATGCGATGCCATTACCATACCAGGTGAGCTTATGGCCATGACCACCACAGCAACCGCGCCTGTCACTCGGACTTTTCCGGCATTTCGTGCGGCACAAAACAAACCTAACGTCACTGCTCACCGGTGGAAATTGTTGCAGTCCAGTGATCTGCTCAACTGCTGCCGCATCGAGCGACCGGTAGTTTTTAGTTTACCGCCAGTCGCAGTCCCGTGCTCATCCTGCTTCCCTAGCCATCCCGTTGAAACCGTCTCGAGATAGACAGAGCGCTGCGGAACTTCATGGCCGATGCATGGAGACGGGCGCGGGCGCGGTAGGTGGCTGCGTGACGCGATCGACGACGACGTACGGCACCGTGGCTTCCCCTGCCGAAGTCGCCTTCGATTTCCACTAGAGCCGCGCACGAACGAGAGAGTTTTCTCCCCTGCTCCGTCTACTCTACGCCGGATGTACAAGCCGCCCGACCTCGTCGTATCGTAGCAAACGTAGTTTGTTACAACAACTGGCTAGCGTGTCAAAGTGAGGCTTTATACAATGCAAGACGTTTAGAGAAAAAAAAAGCACATATGCTTATTTGTAGAAAATAGACGCTTAATTAGACGCTCCTTCTGTAGAAATAGAAGCTGGTGCTTTAGAAAAACCGGTTTATTTTTCTAAGCACCTAGCATTGTACAAAGCCTTAATCGATAACAAGCGATAAGATATACTCCTACCGTTCGATAATATAATGCGTATAGATATTTTGAAAAGTCAAACTCTACAAACTTTGACCAAGTTTATAAAGAAAATTATTTCTATTTAGAATACCAAATGTATAAAGTATGAGACTACGTCTTACACTGAATCTAATGATATATATTTCGCATTCTAGATGTAAATATTTTTCTCCTCAAACAAGCTAACTGATAACGAGCGTAGAATCTTTGACGGGTAAGTACGGCCTTCGTTTTGTAGTGCATCAGGCTAGTTATTATTAGTACCTCAATCGGCGATGTTCATTTGTGAAATCTGCTGTAGCAGTGCTTAGCGCAGTATCCTTTTCTAAAAAAGTGTTTAGTGCAGTTTAGTCCCATGTACATTTTTTTCTTGAGCCAATAGTCCCATATAGATGAAGATAATGCTTGAAGAAAAAAATAGAAGTGTTTTTTACGAAACAGATGAAGATAAATAAGGTCTAGTAGTGCAAATGAAAACGAACAACATCTTGCCGGCCTTGGTCTCCCGCCAAGACCTGGTATGTTTTTCTGACTTTGTCCACGAGACGCTGAAGAAGTAGTTGAAAAGGAAGACATCAAGCGTAACCACCTGAGATCATGCACATGTCCAAATCACCTCAAACAAGCTTTAGTCAGCCCATCAAAATCCGCTTTGTAACAGCGGGACAAATGCTTCACCTATCGGCTATCGCCATTGACCAGAGGCATGACTCCCTAGCTTTAGGACTGGGTACACTGCCATTGCCTCGACATTCAACATAACGATCAACGGGCTACATGACCATGCTCACCTCAATGCAAAAGACCACAAGGTCAGGATGAGGAAGGAGTCGAAGAGACTTGTTCCCGCACAATGGCATTTGCGTCTCCAAAACACCATTGCTTTTACACCAACACATAACCTTCATTGGGTTTGTAACATATGTCGCGCGTGGAATCAAACTCTCCTGCCAACCGTCGTCGGAGCAGCGGTCCTAGCTGAGGGGATATACAACGACACTGACAAAGAAGATAAAACACATCACTCTTTCTTGTACCATGAGTACAAGGACAATATGCCACACTTCATCCGTGCCACCGCGCTAGGGGAGGCTGTACGAAACCCTCTCACTTGTTGTTCCCTTGTTTTTTTATATCAAAGTACTTTTTATTGCAAGGTGTTTATCATATTATCTTTTACAAGAGTATCAACAATCTCTACGGATGAATTTTCCATCCGCACCGCACACACCTTGTTTTTCTTTTGACAATTTGTTGCTCCCTTTGGGTGATTCTACGGTACGCGCCGATGCTACCTCCTCAAGATAATTAATGGGCGGGCCAGTTTAAGAAACTACACACATCACCAGTTTTTTAGTAAAAAATTTCTATCGTTTTTTGGGGTAAAGCAACTCTTTGTTCATCAAAAACCACAAGAAGTGGGATTACATTTGGGTCATGGGGTTCCAGAAACCACACATGATGACCCGGTCCTAACTAAAGGGACAATCTAGCTAACTTATGAGCATCCTCATTGGCTAAACGACTTTTAAAAGAAAAATTACAACTGAAGTTAATTGCTATGTTTTTATCTCCACAATAATGACTCCATGATGACCCCAACTTCCTTTAGCTATATCACTTATCACCTGCTGTGCATCTGATGCTACCTCAAAGTTCTGGAGGCCAAGATCTTCTGCCAACGTGAGGACTTCGCACAAGCAAGTGTACTAGCATCTTGTAGACCGGGTATGATCAAAGATGAGCTCCCCATATAGTTACCATGATGATCTCGACAAACCTCCACTACCGCTCCTCCCGATTTTGAAACCCCTGCATCAACATGGATTTTAGCAAAACCCTAGGGTGGTGCTCTGGGGCGTGTTCTAGGACCTAGTCGCGCTCCACCAGCTCTACCACCCGCAGGCGGTTCCTTGATTATTTTAAGCTCAGAGATGAAACGGTTTATAAACACATGAGTTGCTCCGGGGCTTTGGAATATGCCTTCATGGATAGCTTGCCTCCTAGCAAACCAGATCGTACAAAGAGTGTCTGCGATTTTCACAAAGTTAGTTTTTCGGGAGCAACTAGTTAACGAGCGCTCCTTCGGGAGCCTCGCAACGATCAACGCCACTTGGCGCGCTCTCAGCCATTCGTCACGTGTCGCGCTCTGGATGCTTCCTTCAGATTTTGTTTTTTTATTATTTTTCCGCACGCGTTTTCGACTTTTTAAACGGCTTTTTCTCCGGGTTTTTTCGACGTTTTGGTTTTCCCCCAGTCTTTCTTAGCTTTTCGATAAAAAAATTTTTTTTTAAAATTTTTTTGCGCGAAAAAACGCGTTTTCTTTTATTTTCCTTTCGTGAAAGTCACGTTTTTTCTTCCGCGAGAGGCACGGTTGTGCTTTAGCGAGAGTCACGGTCGTGCCTTTCGAAAACGAAAAAAACGCGTTTTCTGTTTTTTTTCTTTCGCGAGAGGCACGGTTGTGCTTTTGCGAGAGTCACGACCGTGCCTCTAGGAAAGGGAAAAACAAAACACGTTTTCTGTTTTTTTTCTTTCGCGAGAGTCACGATTTTGCTTCCGCGAGAGGCATGGTTGTGCTTTCGCGAAAGTCATGACCATGCCTCTAGGAAAGGGATAAAAACGCGTTTTCTGTTTTTTTTTTCGCGAGAGTCACGCCGTGCCTCTCGAAAACGGGAAAAAAATGCGTTTTCTGTTTTTTTTCCTTCCACGAGAGTCACGGTTTTGCTTTCACGAGAGGCACGGTTGTGATTTCGCGAGAGGCACGGGCGTGCCTCTTCCGGAAAGGGAAAAAACCATGCTCCCGGTTCAGTTTTTTCACCCGTTTTTTTTCGTCCGGTTTCTTTTTGTGAAAAAAAGTTCGTCAAAACCTATCAACATGAGATCTAGTTTTGAAGATCTCGACGCGAGGAATCCAATGATGAAAACGGTTCGAGATTTGGACGCACGGTTTAAAAGATAAAACGTTTTGAATAAACGGATCTACGAAAAAGGGAAAACTCCCAGGTTGCGACAAGTGGCGCGCTGCATATGCGCCACCTGTCGCGACCTAAGAAAATGGAGTGTTCTTTGCAACGAGTACTCCTTAATTAGTGATTTCATAGTTTTTTATCATCCTTCCTTATTTTCTGCTGGGCTGGGCTGCCAAGGACCAGTTGAGCTCCGCCCTAGTTACCTGGGCCTTTTTATACTGGAGAAAACAATTCTTTAACAAATTCGGGAGATAGTGAAGGCCCAGCAAGCACGAAAATGGGCTCCGAAGAGTCCAACTCGGCCCACGTAGGAAACGATTAACTCCCTAGGGTTTCACAAGATATATATATATATATGCTCAGCCGCCCCTCCCTCCCCTCCCTGCTACCCCCGCTTTCCTCCCCCTCGCGCCGCCGCCGCCGCCGCCACCTCCTCCGCAGTCAGCCCACCGCGAAGCGAGGTCGAATCAGCCATGGCGGACGCCAAGACCACCACGGCGGTCACCCTCCGCACCCGCAAGTTCATGACCAACCGCCTGCTCGCCCGCAAGCAGTTCGTGCTCGAGGTCATCCACCCCGGCCGCGCCAACGTCTCCAAGGTCTGAGATCTCGCCCCCCTCCTCTCGTTCCTTGGTTCCGTTGCATTTCGTCGTCGTTTCTGAAGCGCTCGTGTGCTTGTGCGCAGGCGGAGCTCAAGGAGAGGCTCGCCAAGGTGTACGAGGTCAAGGACCCCAACTGCATCTTCGTGTTCAAGTTCCGCACCCACTTCGGAGGCGGCAAGTCCTCCGGGTTTGGTCTCATCTACGACAACCTCGAGTCCGCCAAGAAGTTCGAGCCCAAGTACCGCCTCATCAGGGTACGGATCGGTTCTCCCTCGTTTCTTCTTCACATTGAGCTTAGTTGTGTCCTCTCGTCTAGATGTGCGCTAGTATTTGTTTGCGCTGTGCTCACCCATGGGTCGAGATGTAGTGATTTGTATTGATCTAACTGAGGCTTCTTAGTCTCGGTGAATTTTATGCTGCTCACTTAGGTTTCTTTTGATTCGAGTTAGAAAGCTAGATTTGCTTCCATTTTGTGTTTTGGAAGTGGCCTGATTAGCAGAAGTTACTGTTTGCTAGATTAAGTGAGTTAGTGGTAGGAAACTATAATTTGGAACGACTCGTTCTGTGGGTGTAGCTGGTTCTACCTTTTGGTTTGTTTGCTCAAACCTCAGTTTGCAGGTTTGAATGCTATTGTCAGGTTAAGTTACCCCCATGTCCTTCCAGGATAAAGTTAACCCTTTCTAATCCATCAGTGTTTGTCAGGTTAAGTCCCAAACCCACCCCATAGCTTGAACGAAATTGGCTGTTAGGTTGAAATGGCGCTAAGAATGGCATATTGTCTTGCAAATTGAGTATACTGATCTTCTATAAGTCATTACCTATCAGTCATGTGTAACTGATGAATATACTGGGGCGATACATAAGCTGTTTAACCAAGGGTTTGTTTGTGCACAAGCCTTGTTGTGGTTACCATGATGGTGCTGCTGGCAAGCTTAATGTGTATCCGACCAAATTATGTGTTTGCCTTTTTAGCAGTTGTAGTCCTCCGAATTGTTGAAGTTCACATTTGGGTGTAGAGATGGTTGAAGTCGCATCCCTACCATTATTGATATGGGGTGTAACTTGTTTCCGTTAGTTTTGTACTTTATGTAGCCCAATTATGTTGTTGATATGAAAAGGTGCTAGTAAAGATGATTTTACAATTGAGTATAAATGTTTGTATACGTCTTTCTTTTAAGGTGTGGTGCTTCTTTGTTTTGCTATTGTGGGTTATGTTGCAGTCACCTTCAGCGAGTCAGAGTTGCACATCATATTAGTTCATTACAATTGGAATTTTGGCTTAGCTTCTAAACTGACCTTCTAAACAGCTTTAATAGTGGAAGACTTTACTTGGATAAATTTCCATGTGACTATTACTAGATTCTTGCTTGCTGCTGTATAGTAGTGCCTAGCTGGCTATATTTACAATTTCATCATATAGTGGTTATTTTCATGCATCTTTTGTGATCTGTACCCAAGCTTGACATTGAACATGTATCTTCCATAGAAGGTGCAACGTGGTGCTCTATAGTATATATTTGTTGTTTTCAATGACATTGTATGGTCCTCTTTCTATGTCTGGAATTGCTAATATCTTTGCATCTTGTCAGAACGGTCTTGCTACAAAGGTGGAGAAGTCACGAAAGCAGATCAAGGAAAGGAAAAACAGGACCAAGAAGATCCGTGGTGTGAAGAAGGTCAGTTTTAATACAGCATTTCTCACATCTAGTTCAAGTTGAACTTGAATATGCTCTCTTTGTTAAACATGTTGACCAAACTATATTTTCTGTTGTGTCATTTTTTGCAGACCAAGGCCGGAGATGCGAAGAAGAAGTAAGGGCCTTTGCTTGGTTTAGGACGGTATCCCTGTGGCAATGTTGCTGAGTGCTTAATTATAACTAGAAAAGACTTTGTCATTTATGTCATCTCCTGGTATGTTAAGAGGCATTTTGTAGTATCTTATGCTATGATTTTGAGGAACTTGTCAGACTATCATATACACCTGGTTGTCGTTGTTCTTGGTTTTAATACAGCATTTCTTGGTTTTAAAATGCATTGTGAGTTATTTTCCCCTTGAATGTTTCCATGTTGCGCAATGGAATGATTTCTTACAAGCGATTTCAAGTTCTGGTTAGGTGTCATTGGAGCAACTCTAGCGGATCTCTTTTTTAGTGATTTCAAGTTCTGTTTAGGGGGCATTGGAGCTACTCTAGCATGTCTCTTTTTTTTCTTCCTGGAGTATGTCTGGGTGTACGGTAGCTTTATAGAAGGCAGAATTGAACTTACCATGACACCACACACGCCAAGTCAAAAGAAAGGCACCACCTACAAAACAAGAGCCTATCTAAGCTGAGAAACAATTCTGCCTCTTGATGGAACAAAAATGTGCATCTCGACGTTGGAGACCTCTGAAAAAACTCGTTATAGTTCTTAGCTTGCAATCTCATACTGCCTTTGTCTTAAAATAAGTGTCTCAACTCTAATACAATTTTATACTAAAGGGACAAAGGGAACAACTCTAATACAATTTTTATACTAAAGGGATGAGGGAGTATTAAAAAGGAAAAAAACGACCAAACAGGACCACGACTATTTTTGGAGAAGTCAAACATCACAAACTAAGTAAGTTTGTGGAGAAAATATTTACATGTAGAATGCCAAACATATCATTAGAATCATCATAATATGTAGATTCATAATTTATATATTTGGTATTGTAGATACAAATAGTTCTTTTCATAAACTTGACCAAAGTTTGTAAAGTGATTTTTCAAAAAATCTATATGCAGTTCGTTATGAAACAGAGGGAGTATTTCATTAAGCATTTTGAACTATAAACATTGAAAATATTTGATTTAACTAAGCGATAATCTCAACTTTCTGTATTTTACTCCAAATCATGTACTTTATGTATTTCATTAAGCATTTTGAACTATAAACATTGAAACAACGGAGGGAGTAGTGTTTATCCTTCCAAATATTTGCTTTGAGAAATTTTCCACTTCGCGTATCGTTGACAATGGCAAAGCATACATCATGTATTCCAGGCCAGTCTTGCGTATGTATTTGTGACCCCAGTGAGGTTGCTACTAATTAAGTGTTTTCGTGATATAACTGGTTTGTTACCTCCTCATAATATTCGTACCTCTCTGATCATCGCCTCTAGACTTGTACCATCTGTCAACCCTTTATTAGCAGAATAATAGATCATTTGAGAATGGGATATACATCCCATGTACTGGATCAACTGAAGACTCTAGGCTTCCATCGAGCCACTACTACATTTCGTTTACATTAACACCTACTCCATCCGTCCTAGCTTGAAAAAGGTTTTTATATTAGGGATAGAGTAAATGATTACAGAAAATAAAACCTTCATAAAATGGACGTTTTTACTTTTATGTTTCATTTGAGAACCCCTTGAACGCCTTCTCAAAGGGTTCTCAAAAATTCGGAGCAGAGTAACCAAGCCCAAGGAATTATTCTATCCGTTCTGATAAGCCAAGCCCATCTTGCTAAATTATCTGCAAAATCTCCTTTGACAGATGATCCTCTACTACATAAGACGTCATGTATTGACTCATCTTATGACCTCGGCTGCACCATTGTCATCATTCATCAATGTATTCAAGGTTTCTATCTAATATTGTTAAGTTTTTCACATCTCAGATTTATGTATCAATTTGTATGTACATATATGACTATAAACCCTATAAACCCGATCACAATCCAGTGCAACATCATCAACGTGTTAAATTGCTCAATTCGTCACAAGCCTTTGCACAAGGTATTGCTTAGGACACACTTCCTCCGAGCTTTCTTTCCACACTAGCACACCGTCTGTTCTTAAATATAAGACATTTCGACAGTTTCTTACATTTGTGGACAAAAGGAGTATTAGATTCAAGACGAGCACTTCACATTTTGATATGCTAGGCCGAGTTTCCCAACCATATACCATTTCTTTTTCTGAGAGGTTCCCAACCATATAACTGTAAAAACAGCAGTACAGGCTCGAAGAACAAATAAAATGAATGTCTGTGGGATTAGGAGTTGGTGCAAATAATGTTACATCGTCAAGATAAACCAGCCCAAAACTGTGGCTCCATCATTACAAGCTCTCTCACAAGTATAAAAGTCGGTTCAAAAAGTCACTTGGGTATTTGGCTGTTGCCAGTACATAACTGTCTCTAACTAATTTTCATTCAAATGAAGAAATGTTGATCAGTATGGGGTCCATCTGGACGGTGTTGCTTGAGCTATTCCAAGGACAACTAGTAATCATTAATTGGTCAGACACTAGAAGATCATTGGAGAATGAAGAGCACACAAGAATCAACTACAGGCCCAAACCTGACTATTCTGTGGCAACTGATCAGAACGAATGCCTGATCGGATGCATTTATCCACAGAACTAATGGGGCAGCTGTTCCTTTTCGTTGCATAGAAAACCATAGACCTGCCTCAAGTTTCCCCTAGATGGCCGCGCATTAACGGCGTATTTGCAAATGAACACCAGCCTCTTCCTCATCTCTAACTTGGTGATGTCTCTTCTCATAAAAGATTCGCCGCAGTCGAAGCACCCTTGAGATAAATACATACTGATTAGTTCAAGATGAATAGACATGACTTATTCGAAGTATATATAGTTCTACAGAGCACCTACCTAGTATTAAAAAAAATTGATTGCATTATGGTTATCCATGGTTAGAAATGAGCGAAGAAAAATAAATTTGTATGTCATGCAGCTATGCGGATAAATAAGAACAGAACTCCTATTTACTCTTGAAACCCATAATTATAATTACACTCATGATTATGCTTACCAGTGTCATTGAATAACCGTGTGATTATTGCCAAAGCCACACAAATGCTTATATCTTCTCCTGAAAGGGCAGGTAAAGAAAAAGAGTTAAGCTAACAGGAATAGACAAACTTTTTGCTAAATAACGTTTTTCGAAGAAATATTGATCAAATAATGCCCACCCTAACATATTACCAAAACTGACTTGTGGTTGTCACACGACACTCGGTGATGTGGCATTTACTTGCCACCATGGGAGTCTAAAGTTAACTCAATGGGGCCACATCATGGTCTGTGGCGTGGCCAATGAACATTGGCATGGCACCATTTAACAGCCGGCAAAGGGAGCCACTCTAGCGCACTTTCTCCACCGACGGACCCAAAAAGGATTATTTATAAAAAAAAGAGGGGGGAGGGAGGTGTATTTTGCATCCCTAAACTGTCTGACTACCCTAAACTCTAAAACTGGATAAATATAACCCTCAGTGCTGAAAACAAGGTAGAGTACTGGTTTTGACTACTTCAAAGTGGTTTTAGATGACATGCTGCCGACGCTGTCTGCCACAGTACCTCCAGATCATTCAAAAAAAGCTTGAAAATACATAAGAGTGAGGTCTTCTATAATTTAACAAATTTAGAAAACAAACCCCCAAAGTTAAAAATGTATTTCCTCCTGATTTTCCAAGTTCAAAAGAATAAAAAATAAAACTATAAATATGACAAAATGTTTTCAATCTAGAAAATTTTGGGACTAAACTAGTTTCCCTGAAATTTCCACTAAACACAAGCGATGATGCAGAGCTCACATGGAAGAAAAATAGGCGGTAAGACATC